TAACCGCTCTATCGTATGATAATAGCTTTTGAGCTCCGCTTCGGTCAGTACGGCATGGATCTTCACCTGGCATATCTTATGCATTAATAGCGTAGGCCCGTCTTTTCCGCCCTTGCTAAGTGGTAATAAATGATGGCGGTTATAAGGTTCCGCGAGCGGACGGCCACATAACGGGCAGTCCTGTGAGAGGTTTTTATCTTCCATGAATCAGCAGGTTATCAATCGGTCTTAAAGATAGGGCATCTGCGCTATTGGCGCGCCTTTTGTAATGATTATCACAAAGGGAAAGGTTATGCCGGAAGGTCCGTCACTGGTTATGTACCGGGAAGAGATATTGCATTTTAAAGGCAAAAAAGTAATGATGGCGTCGGGCGATGTAAAAACATTTTCCCCGGAACAGTTAGCAGGCAAAAAGCTACAGGAGATTAAAACCTGGGGTAAACACTTACTGCTCGTTTTCCCGGACAACTTTACTATCCGTATCCATTTCCTGATGTTTGGCAGCTATACAATCAACAGCAACAAAGACCGACCAGAACGGTTGCATCTTGCCTTTGCCGGAAAGGAAGCACTTAATTTCTATACCTGCTCCATACAACCCATCGAACAACCCCTCGACGATGTTTATGACTGGAGTGCAGATGTAATGAACCCCACGTGGGACGCAGCTAACGCACTTAAAAAAATAAAAGCCGGACCTGCTGACCGTATGATCTGCGATGTACTGTTGGACCAGGACATTTTTGCCGGCGTGGGCAATATCATTAAGAATGAAGTATTATACCGTACGGGTATCCACCCTAAAAGTAAAACAGGCGATATCCCGCTTCGGAAACTTAAAGCCCTAATCAAGGATGCGGTCGCTTATAGCTTTGAGTTCCTGGAATACAGACGGGCAGGCACGCTGAAAAAACATTGGCTGGTACATAATAAAAAGACTTGTCCGAAGCATGGAACGCCACTGCATAAAGATCACCTGGGTAAAACAAAGCGCCGGTCGTTTTGGTGCGATGAGTGTCAGCAGTTATACTGAATAGCAGACAGCCCCGCGACTGACGTTGGGCTTCATCCCCCGACGAAGCCCTTACGGGTTCGCGTCCCCCGACGCGGATTCAATAAATAAAAAATGCCCCGCATTCACGGGGCATTCTACGTTTTCAATATCGGTTAAGTTACATAT